GAAAATGACATACACATAGATAAATGCAACTAGTTATTCAAAATCAGTGTATGGGGCCTGGGCACGACTGCGTTGCCTTGACAACAAAATTAGAAGTATTTTCCCATGCGTCTCATCATGTACTATCTGTATGCAAAATGTCATTTGATTTGAGCCAATCATAACTGAGCTATGCTTCAGTTTACTATTCATTAAACATACTTACCCTACCAATGACGTCACACGTTGTGCTGAATCTGCAATTTATATTTTGTACATTTTTGCGTATAACTTCGGAACCAGATGAGATAGAATAGAGCAGTAAACGGCCAATCGGCTAATTTTTTCATGCTCTTTCAGATAAAGCAATAAAAATTTTTATTGCCATTACCCTTTAAATCACCTAAAATGGCAACAAAAAATTTTATTGCTTCATCTGAAAGAGCATGAAAAAATAAGCCGATTGGGCGTTTAATGCTCTATTCTATCTCATCTAGTTCCGAAGTTATACGCAAAAATGTGCAAAATATAAGTTGCTGATTCAGCACAAGGTGTGACGTCATTGGTTGGGTAAGTATGTTTAATGCATACTAAACTGAAGTATGGCTCAGTTGTTATGGGCCCAAATCAACTGAAATTTTGCATACTGATTGTACATGATGAGACGCATTGAAAAACACTCTTAATTGTGTTGCCAATGTAACAATGTTGTTTCCAGGCCCCTTGCGCCAATTTTATAAAACAGCTTTATTCATGGTACTTATAAGAATAAAATAATATCAGAAGTATGTGTACCATACCTTGGCATGCCAAAAGTTTACTTGCATGATAATAATTCGAAAATGACACACACATAGATAAATGCAACTAGTTATTGAAAATCAGTTTAAGGGGCCTGGGAACGACTGTGTTGCCTTGACAACAAAATTAGAAAATTTTCCCATGCGTCTCATTTTGTACTGTCTGTATGCGAAATTTCATTTGCTTTGAGCCAATAATAACTGAGCTATGCTTCAGTTTACTATTCAATAAACATACTTACCCAACCAATGACGTCACACGTTGTGCTGAATCAGCAATTTATATTTTGCACATTTTTTGCGTATAACTTCGGAACCAGATGAGATAGAATAGAGCATTAAACGGCCAATCGGCTTATTTTTTCATGCTCTTTCAGATAAAGCAATAAAAATTTTTATTGCCAATACCCTTTAAACTCGCATTATCTCGTTACAGCCAATTGCAGTTGAGCTTGCAGCTTCCATTTTAAACGCGTTGTTGCATCGTTGAAAAGTATGCGTTCATTCCTTGGAAACACGCCGTTGCTAGGGGCGTAACGTGAACTTTTGGCGCGCGTTGTAACGACGTAAACATGTTTTTCTATTCTTGGCGTTGACGAATTAAATTAGATTTTGTCATATTAAATTAGATTTTGTCACAAAACCGACCAGGGAGTTCTAATTTGACTGCAGGTATTCTAAAAATACCTTACTGTTCCGTCGCAGGCTTAAGCGGCGTTTTTACAATATATTTAACTCGTTATACGTTTGTTTGCACGCCGTTAAGAAGTTCAACAATGCCCGCCAAAAGTTCACGTTACGCCCCTAGCAACGGCGTGTTTCTAAGGAATGAACGCATACTTTTCAACGATATAACAACGCGTTTAAAATGCAAGCTGCAAGCTCAACTGCAATTGGCTGTATCGCCCCAGAGTAGGGCCTACTGTTGCCGTTGCTTTTTAGTCCCCAATACTTCAGTGAGTCATGCTTTGGAAATATGACAATAATTTTTTATTATCCAACCCTTGAGTTGTTTTGTTTTTCATTTACCCAACCTTTTACTTACTCAAAATTTAGTTTACCCAACCCTTTTCTCTTCGGTGCCACCCCCCACCATAAATAATGACCGGTCCCTTATCTCGCAGACTTCGGCTGAAATGCCACCCAAAAATGGCGGCGTGAGAAAGGCTAATCTTCAAACAAAAATGTGAAACGTGATTTTCCAAATATGTGCTTTTGAAAATTGAAATCTTGCTTTACCCACTCCTGGCAAACAGCCATATTTTTTAGATCAGTGAGTATGACCACCCACGATGGGTAACCCACGCCCGCGATCATTGATGAACTTTAGGCTTCGCTAATGCTTCCCTTTCCTCGGATGTAAATATTCGGGCGGAATTAGTACCCTCGCCCCGGGCTGACGTCCGGAACGGCGTTCTGTGTCGTTGACTCGGGGACTATTTCCACTTCAAAAGGATATAGAAAGGTTTCAGCCTTATAGAAATAAGAAATATATAAAGGAATATATAAAGGAATATAAAAAGGTATATAAAGGAATATTGAAAGGCTTCAGCCATTTTTATATGATTGCATTTTAAAACAATTCAAATTGACAAAAAACTTTCACGAACAAGTAAACAATATAAATTATATTCAAACTTTTTTACTGTAAAGAACCGTAATTAAAATTAAGTGCTATTGTAGTTCAGTATATGTTTGGTCCTCTCGATCAAGCAAACAGTCTCAGTGGGCGGCACAGACAAGCAACAGGTTTTTGGGTAGGCTTTCCCCGAAAATACCGCCAGTTGTGCTGCAAGAATATATACATCTTGTTAGCATATGATGTCATCCCATGGGCATATAAGAAGCCATTTTGCCAATTCAGATCACCCCTGATGAAAACACTAGAGCTGAGTGTCGAAACGTTGGGTCATGAATGCAATTCGACTGTGCTTTGCATTAATTTCTTAAAACCAGAATAGCGAGCGCAAACATTACAGATATTGTACCTTGCTTTGGACTCAAAAATGTCAAACTTTGTTAAATCTCAAGAAAGAAACAAGCTAGTCAGTTTGCCTAAGTATTTTATTGGTAATTTTGAAATTTCTTAACAATGTAATTAATTCAGTAATATACAATCCAACATGCATTTATAATTATGCAGGAAACATTCAAGGTTTCGTGGTAGCATTTTACCAGCAATTCTTCATGCAGTGGGGATCCTAAAATCAAATAGTTAATGCACCCTAACAATTTCTTGGCGCAATTGGTGAGAAGGGGAGGGGGGGGGGGCGGGAAGGCACAACCTGAAGAATAGCCTGAGGATATTGACACTTGTTAAAACTATAGCCTGAGGTAGTACTGTTTAACTGTTATTCAAACATTTCATAGTCATATAACCACCGAAAATTTTGTGGGGCATGCCATAACACATCTATTAAAACATTTGCTTATTACTTTAAGTACCGAAGGTAAATCCGAGTATGGAGACACCAGGTGTGATTACTGAAAAAATATTTTCCAACGGCAACGGAAACTTGTCTTACGCAGCAAATATTTCTTGGAATGCCGAAAAGTGGATTAAATCTCACAAAATAGAATATTTCTATGTTACAATTGAAGAAAAGCCAAATTCCATTGGAGGATTCCACTATTCAAGGAATGTGCTGGCGAAAGATGGAGTAAGTAATAATTAACTTTGGAGAAGTGTTTTGTAGATGGAGATTGTGGGTGGGAATTTTATACATTTATAACCAGGAGTATATAGTAAGTTGTGAAAATGGAACTATAGATCCTTTCAAGGAATCGATCATACGGCCGGCCGTTCGATTCCGGTGCAGCGCTCTAACCAACTTACTCCCAGTGGCCAGTTGTTGAGCTTTAACCTCATGTTCATGTATAGAACTAAGGTAATGTCAATCTAAGGTGTGTGTAAATACCAATTGGATCAGTGGTTTAGAGTGCTGCCCCGGTATATCGCAAAGACGCGGGTTTGAACCCAGAAATTACTTCTGGTTGCGTCTAAAAAAATGTGTAAAGTTTACACTCGAAATTTCCGTGTGCAAAACCCTTCTACAATTAGTTAATAATAAATCTTCAGTTAATAGATGCCCCAAATCCTAATAACTGACTTTCAATACAGTCACGCAGGCCATCATTGGCAGTTGAAACAAGATATAACTCCACAGCAGCACGGAAAATTAAACCTTCGCTACGGCAATAGTCTCAAAAAAACAGAACAAAAACTAACTTTCCTGTGAAAAAGAAAACTCATTGCAGAGGAATTATTGCTATACCGAAAAGAATATTTTTGACCAACCAGGATACTGGATACACATTATAATCAGGTTGCCAAAATTGTTGCAAATGAAGTGATGATCCGACTAAATTTAAGTTATTTTCTATAGCAAAAATATTAATGTTTTCGAACAATAGAAACTAATCTAGTACATAAAAATTTAATAAAAGTTTTGTTATTCTCAATATTTTAATTCTCAACTTAATAGCATTCCCAGATGTACAATTTTCTAAGTTTCTTTATAGGTTACTTCTTACCATGCTGTATCGTATAACATTCCGGAAGGAAAACGCTACAAAGTTGTGGTTAGTATATATGTCCTATTTTTCATTATCCGTGATTTAATTGAAGGCTAGCTTCAACCTTTGAAATGTGAATGGAAGGTTATATAGTTAGTAACCTTTATTTACTATTTTGATTTTCACATTTTTAGCTTGTAAGGAAAATTAAAATTTTATAAAATAATGCCGAAAATTATTTACTTAGTCTAGCCAGTGAGAGGTAGCCGTATATAAGTAGTGGAAGTCAAATCTGAACCTCGAGCATGCTACTCTTTCGAGTGGGTTTTAGATTTTGAATGTCATATGCATGGGTATAAATATTAGCAAAAACTTAATTATGTAAGATATGAAGATGTTTATGGAAAAAAATCATAAATTTATAAAACACAGGCATTATTACGGAGGAAATTTTCAGGACTTCTTAACATATACAACATATTGTATGTTAAGAAGTCCTGAAAATTTCCTCCGAAAATTTTCCTCTTACACAATTAAGTTTTTACTAACTATAAGGTAACATCACATTCAAAATCTAAAACCCACTCGAAAGAGTAGCATGCTTGAGGTTCAGATTTGACTTCCACTACTTCTATACCGCTACCTCTCACTGGCTATTAAGTAAGAATCTGATTGGTTAATGGATATATCAAACGCATCTGATTGGTTAACGGTCGCTTAATGGTAGCAGCAATTCTGAACCTGTCTAATAACAGACTAAGATGATTATTACTTAGTAAACAAAATGTTTCACACTTGCAATTAACAAAATTGTTTGCGGGTCCAGAAGTTGGGGATCGAAGGGGTGGGGCATATCTTGATCCTATTTCTTGGTCCAGTTTTTCTAAACCATTTTGTGTAGACGTCTTTAGAACTAATTTTACCGAGCAAAAAGTTAGAATACTCAGAATAAGAGAACAACCAGACACAGTACTAAAATGCGGTGCCCGCCTACAAATAAAACTTTTGGCGTTTCCGCCTGCATGTACAAGTAAAGTTATATTTAGCACGCTACACATTCTCCTGTCGGCCGCCAGTTGGTCCGTACGTTAGGATCAAAACTGCGTTTTAAAGCCTTCAAAATAAAATATTTTGGGCTCAAAATACTATCAAAATGAGGAGAAAAGTGAGACGAATCCACTGGCATACGGCCGAAAACGAGAAAACCAACAATTCCGAAGTTATCAAGGATTAAACGGACTGCATTTTTAATTAGTTTAATAATTTTGAGCGATTTGTAAACAATACAATTTCGCTTATTAAAACTGCACATTAAAACCTTCAAAATATAATATTTTGGGCTGAAACTACAAACAAAATAAAGAGAAAAGTGAGACAAATCGACTGGTATACGGACGAAAAAGAGAAAACCAACAATACGAAAGTTATCAAGGTCAAATGTATTGCATTTTTAATTAGTTTAATAATTTTGAGCGATTTGTGAACAATACAATTTCGCTTGTCTTTCAAAGGCCATAAATCGCTAGAATACTGTAGTTTAGTAATACATTTGACATCTGTGAGTATACTTTCTTACACTGAATCGAACGGTGGTATTTTTGTCCTTATTGGGCGCATAAAACCAGAGATAAGACGCAGCAAAAAGTCAATCGTGAGAGTTCGAGATTAATTCGAAAGAAAACTTTCCTCGAAAAAAGGAATTCGGAAAACGTGAAGGATTATTTTGAGCGGCTTTTGTCTTTCAAAGGCGACAAATCGCTAGAATAGAAGTCAATTTTGAAATCAATTTTCCATCCGTAAACACAACTTTTCACGCTGATTCGAACAGTGGTATTTTTGTCCTTGTTTGACGCATAAAACCAGAGATAAAGCTGAGCAAACAGTCGATCATCATGAGAGTACACGATTAATAATAATTAATAAATTCCGAGCACGTGCAAGGAATTTTTGGTACGCGATTAAGGAAACGTATTGATGCGAACAAACTAACAAACTAACAAACTAACAAACAAACGGACAAACTCACAGGCAGAATATAATGCGGTGCCAAAAATGGCACGGGCACCGCAATATAATGAATTATGATACCGCTTGACCTCTCAAAGGTCATAAATATATATATATATATATATATATATATATATATATATATATATATATATATATATATATATATATATATATATATATATATATATATATATATATATAATATATATATATAATATATAGCTTAAGATTTTGGTTTACGAAACACAAACAGTGCTCAATACCATATATAGATGCAACCTCGTTCCCAGGCTCTTTGCTCTTGTGAAGCAAAGACCCTGGTCGGGGCTGGTCACGTGACCCATAGAAAATTGATAACCTAAGAGGGGGATGGAGAAGTATCAAATTACATGTTTCCACTTCCGCACCTCACACTTCGATTGCAAGGAGTGACCGTTCTATACAATCATCTTTGAGAATCATATATACTTCAAAATACTTTCTAAATTGGTTTCTGTTTGCTTTTAAATTATACAAACATGCTAAACTGTAGATTCTTATAGCAACAAACAAGTCAGAAAATCAAGCAACGAAAACGTATGATCGTATATGCTTGAAAATATTTGCCCTTTTATTGTCTCGCGGGGTTTGGGCGCAGTTTCATTTCACGCGTACGTTTCTGTATCTGGCTCAGATACGTATAATATTCTTATAATGTGCCACTGAATTGTTGTCATATGGAAACGGTATAAATTTTGTTAAATAGAGGTCTCAAAAGCGACTGTGTAGGTCGTAGGCGTAGCGCCTTGTTGGCCCTACTGTCAGCAAACGTTACATATTTGGACACTAGCCAAATAGACATTGAATA